ATTATAATTATCCCTGCCTACAGACGAGTAGACGGCCCCCAAAGAGAGGTTAAGCTCTGGGCTGACAGCCATAACCTGGCGAGTTGCAGAGCTGCAATCTGTACCCAGAGTCCGTGCCTGTCTCTTTCCAGAGAGCTGCACGGCTTCCCTACGGCTCTTCACACGGGATGCGCCTGGACAGTCAGTCACTGCTCCATGTTTGTTGACCGGGTTCAAAAAATGAAACACAAATCGAGTAGTTTATCTAGTCGTTAAGAGATCCCCCTTAGGGCCTCAAGCAAAGGGGGAGCAGAGGCTGAAGTCTGTCTGAGAAACCGGTGGGGAGTCACCCACTGGCCCCAGAAGCACCAGCTCCTCATTCACCCTCTACCGTGGGTCAGGCGCTGGACTGGACACTGTGAATTCAGTCAGGACGTCCTGCCCGGAGAGCCTTTGATCTCATATAGTGATAGCAACGAAGGGATACATTTAAAACATGTAACAGGTGGGCGATGGGGAGAAGGGTGTGCTGGGTAAGGGCTTGCGCTCCGGGGTCCGACTGACCCGCAGGTCTGTTCTGTCATGGACTGCACGAGGGTGATCTCTTCGCAGCAGGTTCCGTAACCTCTAGAAGTCTCAGTTTCTTCATCTGCATGAAATGGGGGGAGGCGTGCCTACCGCAGCGGGCGGGAGCACGGCTCAAACGAGGTGAGCGCGGGGCACGCATCCTTTCAAAGGTGTGTGCCGCTCCCGTTATTATCACTGTTGTTATCGCTGGCAGGGAAGGTTAGGGGTGGTGCTGGGCGCAGCCCGCCGCCCCCCTCGGCTCCCTGGGGGCGGCGGTCTGCACCTTCCTTGCGGCCCCGCGGGCCCGCGTCCCCGTGGGCGCCCGCCGACTCCTCCACGCCCGGCTCCTGCGCGCAGCCCTGCTCCGCCGCCCCGTCCACCACGGGCTCCGAGGCCTCGGGGTGCATGCTTATTCCGGATACACCGAACACCCCGTTCCGCGGGGTCGCTAACCCGCCGACCACCTGCGCCGGAGTCGTTGGCAGCCTAACGCTCGCCTGGTCGCCACAGCAACCGCCGCGCACGCGCACTCGGGTGGGCCGGCACGTCAGGACGCCGGGGGCGGGCCCCGCAACGGCTCCGCCCCCGGCGCGTGCGCGGGTCACGTGGGGCGCGGCTCGCGGCAACTGCGGCGGTGGTGGTGACAGGGGCGGCGGTGGTGGTGGTGACGGTGAGCGGGGCGGCGGCCGCGCGGCTCTGGCGGGACCGGCTCGGAGACTGCGCAGCCTCTGCAGGTACCGCGCACCCCCCCGCCTCCCCGCGCCCGGCCCCGGGTCCCGGCCCCACTTGCTCGCCCTCGGCCCATCCCTCCGGGTGCTCCCCGCCACGCCCCCCGGGACCGTGCCCCTCGGCGCCATCGGCACCCCGGACCCCCGGAACCCCTTCGTCTCTCCGTTCCCTCGGACCCCGGCCTCGGCACCGCTCCTTCCAGACTCGTCCCCCAGCCCCACGGCGCCCCTTCCCAACTCCATCCCGGCGTTGCACCCCCGCAGGACCCCCTGTCCTGGGTCCGCCCCCTCCCCCAGGACCCGGCAGGTAGGGGGCCCCACCCACCCGAGCGCGGCCCTTCCGGCCCCAGACTCTAGCCCGGGGGTCCCAGTGAGGCTCCGAGAGTCACCCCTTTGTCCGTGCTCCTTTATTCTCATTTCTAAAGGACTTGGTTGCAGTGGGATTTGTTGTTGTCTTTGTTCTGAATTAGGAGTAATTCGGAATCAGGGAGCTCTTGGAGAGAGGGCACCTGCGGCTCCCGAAGCGCGGTGGTTTGCTGGGGTTTGCTGGGCGCCGTCAGGTGCTGGAATGGAAGGGTTCCGGAGATGGATGAGGCTGTCCCTGGTTCGGAGGAGCGTGCCGCCCAGCAGACCCAAGCCCTGGAGCCTGCGCGGCGATGCCAGCAGGATGCCCGCCCGGGGGTCTCACAGTGGGGAGGCTAGCCAGGGCTCTGGACTTTGGGAGACCTTGACCCGAATTCCCGTGGGGTCTTGGCCATGTCACTTTAATCTCTGTCGGCCTCAGTTTCCCCATCTGTAAACGGGATGATTATAACTCTGCCTCCTAACGTTGGTGAGAGAACAGTGAGGGGTCAGGGGTAAAGCCCTTAGCGGTGTCTTTGGCTTAAAGCCAGCTCTGGGATCTAACCCTGACCCATGCAGATAGCCCCTAGCTAACGTTGAACACGGAGTTCCAGCAGCTAAGAGCTAAGGTTTATTGAGCACTGAAATTTGGGCACTGTTCTCAGTGCTCTGTATGTATGACTTCGTTTGATTCTTACGAAATCTTAGGTTGGAACTAGTATCTCCGTGTTTAGGTAACATAAGATAATGTAAGGAAAATGCAGAGGCGAAGTAACTTCACTTTCACCCAGCACAGCTCTTGGGGTGGGGGGGGTGGTGGGGGGCGCAGAGCCTTGATCTGACTCCAGGAGGTCTATTTTCAGAATCTGTGGTTTAGTCACTACAGTAATGAATATTCCAGGGGCGTAGAGTTCAACAAATCAGCATTTTTTTTTAGTAGATTTTAAAAATTGACATAAAATTCATATAATGTAAAATTCATCCTCTTAGCCATTTAAAAGTGTGCTCTTCATAGCAGCCTCTTCACTGTGTGCAACTACCACCACTATTTATTTTTTTTATTTTTATTTTTATTTTTTTAAAGATTTTATTTATTTATTTGAGACAGAGAGAATGAGAGAGAGAGAGAGAGCACATGAGAGGGGGGAGGGTCAGAGGGAGAAGCAGACCCCCTGCCGAGCAGGGAGCCCGATGTGGGACTCGATCCCAGGACCCTGGGATCATGACCTGAGCCGAAGGCAGTCACTTAACCAACTGAGCCACCCAGGCGCCCCCTACCACCACTATTTAACCATCATCCCAGGAAAAAATCCTTCCCCATTAGCAGTCATTCCCCATTCCCGCTGCGCCTGTGCTCTGGAAACCCTAATCTCCTTTCTGTCTCTGGATTTGCCTTATCTGGACAGTTCATATAAATTGGATCATATGGTGTTTGGCTTCTTTCGCTGAGCGTAGTGTTTTCAGGGTTTGTCTGTGTAGCAGCATGCATCCTACTTCATTCTTTTTATTGCTGACTGATATTCTGGGATGTGGATAGATCGCGTTTTGTTTATCTGTTTGTCTGTTGATAGACATTTGGGTTGTCCCCATGTTTTAGCTATTGTGAATAGGGCTGCTGGGAATGTGGTTCTACAAGTTTCTGTGTAAGTTGTCTTGGGTTGATATCTAGGAGTTGATGCCGTTGTTATTTTAATTCCAAATGGAGAAACCCAGGCCTATTGGATCTTGGATGAGAACTCCCATTTCTGCCCTTCCGCTGAGCTCCCCATGAATTCCGGTTAGCGGTATCCCAAAAATTGGCAAGGGCAGGAAAGAAATTCCAAAATGTCATGATACACCAATAATAACTTTGTCAAAGTGCTGACACACAATTTGAGAAGCTCCTTACATTTTTTTCTCCTCAAGAGTGAAATTTGAGCTTTGAACACAAACCAGTATTTGCTTCTATTTATTACACAGATTTTTATACACAACCTTACTCCAGCTGCTGAGGAGGAATATTAAAGATGGGTGCGATCCTAGCCTCACACCATCACAGAGCCACAGGAGGGTTAAAGACTTAAATCTGAAACACAAAATTGTGAAAAGTTTGAGAAAATCATATTGGAAAATACCTTTATGTCCTGGGGCTAAGAGGGGATTTCTGAAGTGAAATGTAACAAAGCACAAAGCATACAGGAAAAAGATTAATCCATTTGACTGCATTACAATCAAGATGTTCAGTTCATCAAAAGCAGAGAGCAAACATAGAGAACCAGTATCCAGAATATAGAAAGAAAAGAAAGGCAACACAGTAGAAGTAAGAGCAAAAGCTAGGAACAGGCATTTCACAGACGAGGAGCCACACAAACAACACAGAAGCATCGTAAGGATGCAATCAACCTTATCCATAATCAGGAAATGTAAGTTAGAACCATAGTGAGCCCCCGTTTCAAGGCCACCCTGTGGGCGGAAGGTGAGCCTACGGGTGCCAGCTATTGGGGATGAGCACTGTGAACTCACACTGGCTGATGGTGGGCGTGGGGATCGGCCCAGCGGCTTGGGCAGTGCCTGCCTGAATGCACGGATGCCCTGTGGCACAGCAGTCTGACTCAGGTGTGTCCCTGTGTGCGGGTGATGTGAGTGAGTGTGCACAGAACCTCTGTTCATAACTGTAGAGTGAAAGCCAGGAAAACCCCAACGCAAATGCAAATCAGCGATAGAATGGATGTGTGACTCCGGGTGTGTTTGTATCGTGACCTAGTGTGCAGCAGTGAAAGTATATGACCTGCAGCTCCAGGAGCATGGACGAGTCTCGAAAACATCATTGACTGAAAGAAACAAGTCACCAAAAATACACGTGCTGTGATTCCTTTAGAGGAAGTTCAAAACCAGACAAAACCGAGCACTTTCTTTCAGAATCCCTGCTGGGGTAATCATACAACTGTTTTTTTTTTTTAAAAAAGGACAAGGGAACGGTGATGTCAGAATTGAGGAGGGTGGTAACCCCCAGGGTGGCGGAAGGTGATAATATGATCAGGGAAGAAGCTATGAGGCTTCTAAGTGGGGTGGCCGCGTGGGTGTTTGGTTATTCTTTGAACTACGCGTAATAGGTTTTACAACTTTTGTGCATATTTTTCAGTTTTTTCAAGTGACAGCAAAATTAGTTGTGGATACATCTGCCCTCGAGAGGCCTGTGCTCTAGTTGGGGAACCAAGAGACAAGGGAAACAGCTGAACAGAATACACAGTGGTGCGGGAAGGGCCGTGTGGGTAAGACAGACAGGAACTCGGGGGGCTCGGTGCAGTGGCCGATGAAGGAGAGGGAAGAGGCGCAGGGCTCCCCTTCATCCCAGGCCTTGTGTGTCGCTGGCACTTATCAGTGAGCACTGGCATTGAATGGGGGGTTGAGCTGGTCTTGGGAGGACAGACAGGATTTCAGTGCCAACAGCAAGACCGATGCAGACTCTGTGTGAAAGAAGAGCTCTCTCTATGAAAAAACCTTAACGAAAATAAAGTCCACAGCCCTGGAGCCTTATTGAAAAGCTGGTCAGTGCCAGTTGTGGATGAGGATGGGGAGGACCCCCTCAGGCCTGCCCCACTCTGGGGAAGATCATAGGAATCTCTGAGGCTGTTTCTGGCTCCTTCGAACACTAGAAGCTTTTGGATTAAGGGATGTGCAGGATTTGCAGCTTGTTTCTGTACTGTCTTAAAAACGAGGCTGACCGTCTCTTTCTGTCCTTCCATCCATTGATCCATCTTAATTTCCTATTGTTGCTGTACAAATTACCACAAACTTAGTGGTTTAAAACAGTGCAAATTTATTCTCTCACAGTTCTGGAGGTCAGACGTCTGAGATCAGCCTCAGTGGGCTAAAGTCAAGGTGTCAGCAAGCCTGTGTCACTCCTGGAGGCTCCGGGGAGAATATCTTTCCTGCCTTTGCCAGATGCTAGAGGTGCCTGCATTCTAGAGGGTAACCCCTCTCCCCATCCTCAAATCCCATGGCCTCCCGTCTTTTAATCCTGCCCGCTGCCTCCTTGACCTCCACTCCTTGATCACATCTCCTCCGACTCTGACCTGCCTCCCTCCTCCAAGGACACGTGTGATCACAGGGGCCCACCCGGATCATCCAGGATCATCTCCTGGTTTCAAGGTCCTTAGCTTAATCACATATGCAAAGTCCTCTTTGCCACGTAAGGTGGGGCATTCATGAGGTGGACATGTGAGGATCAGGACGGGGCCATCTCCCAGGGCCATTGTTCAGCCCACCAGGCTTGCTGCCTTTGTTTGGTGGTGCTTTAACTGTCTTCCCATCATGCTTGCTTCGTTTTCCTTGAAAACGTTGTGGCCAGTCTGTCTGATGTCCTTTTACCCTCAGGCCTCATGCGTTTAGATAACTTGGTGATGTCAGTGTTTGAGCCAAGACTTCTCCCCCAGAACTCTTGATTCATGAAGGTTTTGCATGAGGTTTGCCTGCCCTCATCCCTGCTAGGTTGAGCCCGCTAAACTCTGGGTCAGGAGAACGTTACGGGTCACAGCGGTGCTTTGTTCTATTTATTTTATTATCTCTACACCCAACGTGGGGCTCGAACTCATGACGCACGACGCCGAGATCAAGAGTCGCACATCCTACAGACTGAGCCAGGAGGGCACCCCCATAGCCGTGCTTTGAAGAGGTGACTTTTCTCCTTGCAGTTTTGACCATAATTTTCCCGTGACACTTTTAGACTTCCAATATTACCTTTAGGGTTTGTTTGTTGTTTCCCACAGGATTTGTTTTAGGACTCTTTGGGAGCAGTTTTAGGTTTACCGTAAAATTGAGACAAAGGTACAGAGATGGCCCGTATACCCCCAGCTCCCACGCACATGGAGCATCCCCCCACTGTCAGCGTCACTCACCAGAATGGTACCTTTTTTTTTTTTTTTTTTTAAATCAAGGATGAACCTATATGGACCCATCATCATCACCCAAAGTTTGTAGTTTACCTAGGATGTGTTCAATGCATTAGCCCTGATGAATATTGCCCTGTAGAAGTAGAAAGTGCCTAACAGACCATAGGGAATTGCTCTCTTCCTATTTTGGGGACAGCTCTGACTCTTTCCCTCCACCTGTTTTTCTCCTATTTTGGTGAAAAATGATGATTGAGTTTTCTGTAGAGGCAAGAAAACAAAGCTTTATAATAACTTTTACAAGCAGATTGGATAGGGGCCAGAAGTTTACTGTGTTTCAGTGTTGCTTTATAAAGGATTTCTCTAAGTTTTAGGCTAATACCTATCTGCAGAAAAATGAACTAGTCAAACCCTCATAGGAAGTTAAATGCAGCTAGGTATCTTGGTAGGCTTCTGGACTTAAATGTGTAATAAACTCCTTTGAACTTGGTTTCCGTGAGACTTCCTAGATCCTAATGGCTTTGGGGGAAGTCTTGATCTGTTCTTTCATTAGGAAGACATTATTTTCCATCATGTACTCAGGGGTGGGGAGAGGACTGAGAGGATGTCAGGAATGTCTAATGTCCTGTTATTTTCCATTTACGGTCGGTCCATCAGGGTATGAACGAAAGTAGGAAAACGTCTGGTGTGTCTGAGAAGCAGCGTGGAGTCATCACAAAGCCATGCGCTCTCCGTTCAGCCTTGCCTTGTCCCCATCTGGAAGGACGAGGGTCCCGGACCCCTCTCTCCCTGCACAGCCGGCCCCCGCCGCTGCCAGCCGCCTTTTACAACAAACCCGATCGGCTCCCTCCTTTGGCAGAAGGGACTTAGAGAGTCAGTCCGCACGCTTCTGTTTGTCATAAAGACCTTTTACAGTCTGGCCTTCCCTTCCAGCCCCCTAGCCACCCCTGGGTGCAGTTCCTGTGCTATGAGCCGGTTGAGTTTGTCAGCGGTTCCTGGCAGGCCGAACCTGTTGCAGTGAGGTGCCCTTGCTTCCTCTCTGCCCAGGAGGGCCTTATGCCCTGCAGCAGTACCCTCGCCACTTTGCACGGAGTTGCTCTGTTTATCTTGGTGAATTCCGTGCACAGCGACGCAGGGACTCCTGGCTTACTGGGGAAGGGTCCTCAGTGTCTGACACTTAGCTGTTCGTTGCTGTTGTAGTAGTTTGGTTTTCCAGGTGGACTTGCCTAGGCAGTGACCATGCATGTTTAGACTTCTTGGCGGTATTGTTTATTGTTCCTAAATAAGTTGGTGTTGGAATGTCTCAGTCTTCTGTGAGTTTGGTGGCTGTCAGTCAGGTCTCCATCTTGAGCTGTGTCTGGGGAATGATGAGATGGCATGCTGTCTGTCGTTCAAAGCTGTAGACCAGGCCTAGAACACTGTCAGCCCTCTGATTCTCTGTGATTGAAAACAAATGTAGCCATGACAGTATATGTTTAAGGTGCTTGCCTGTGGTGGAACTGTGATGTTAAATGTCGCCCTGGTACCCTGTGACAGGACGGTGGAGGGCAGTGTGATAAGCAGAGCCAGGAAGCCAGGCCATGCCAGGTCCAAGGCCCTTGAAACTGCTGTTCTCAGAGCATCTCTGAAGTTGGTGCATCTTTCTGATGCACCTGAGCAGGAGGTTGCTGGTGGGTTTTACATATGCGGTTTTCCTGTCTGTAGAGGATCGGGAGATCCCCTTGCGAGCTGGTGAACAAGAAAGTGCAGGATGAGAGCTGACCTGGAGACCGGGTAGTGCTGAGCTCCTGCTTTGGGCCAAGGCCCGTGGAAGGGGCTAGAAGAACAGAGAGGAATAAGATTTGGCCTCAGCCGTGGAGCAACTCAGCCTGCAGGGGGTCTTCTAAAACCGAGTCTAGGGTGGAAAGAAGGGGAAAGGTGTGCCAGAGGTTCTTTTCCTTTGCGCATTCTGAAAGTGCTGGCCCCACTCACGGGCTGGAAGGGGCTGCTCCGAATACCGCAGGACACTTCTTCCCGCCACCTCTGCCAGCTGATTAGGCAAGTGCTGGATGCCGGGGCTCAGCGGCCGGCAGAATCTGCCAGGAATGTGGGATCGAGGTGCCAGGCCGCAGTAGTGGGGAAGCTCAGGGGCTCTGCAGGTGGAGCGTCAGAAGGCGGCTTGCAGGGAGAGGGCTGAGGCCCGCGGCGAGCCCAGGCAGGCATCGGGGAGTGAGAGTGGCCCAGCCTGCTCCCTTCCCTGCCCGCCTGCTCCGGGGCTTTGTGTCCTGAGCTCCCAGTGTCGTGCAGAGCACCACCTCTCTCCCAGCTATTGTAACTGGTTTTGTTCCGTTTAATGAAATGTTCCTTAAGAAAGAAGGCCCAGGGAAAAGCGGGCACATTGCAGCTGGGTCTTTCTGCAGACGCTGTTAGTGCCTTCCTTTTTCTGAGATGAGGAAATGCTCTGCCGTCTGCACAGGGGATTCATGGTGTAAGAATTTGTGTTTCCTTAATTTTGAAGAACTTTGGTCTTATGTTTATATAAAGTTTTCCCAGCTGAGCTGTGAGGGCAAAAGAAAGGAGTTTGTTTCATGCTGTTTTTTGTTTGCAGGTTGGCCTTAAGACAGCAGCATTTTCCTGAAGACCCAGAACCGGCTGAGAGAAGGTGAGAGAAAAGCAAGGTAGTTAAGGACCACAGCAGAAAAATCGGGAATCTCCTCTGTAGTCAGGCCCCTTTCGATAGTTTTTCCTTCACCAATGTTCAAATTCTTGGAAAAAGTGGTGTTTGAGGGGAGAAGAAGTTCCCTTTACACAGCTTCGCATTAGTCTGAGCCATATCTGAGCTACTCCTTTTTAGCTAGAACCTTGTTGCAGACCCTGGGTGCAGTTAATTTTCCCACAAGTATTGCTTTGGTGACAACCCAGTAGATCTTGATACATAGGATATAAATTTTCATAGAAAACAGTGTTTCAGTATCTCAGATCTACACCCACCTGTTATTTTTTTTTTTAAGATTTATTTATTTACTTACTTATTTGAGAGAGAGTTGGAGCAGGGGGGAGAATCAGGCTCCCCGCTGAGCAGGGAGCCCGATGATGCAGGGCTTGATCCCAGGACCCTGGGATCATGGCCTGAGCTGAAGGCAGATGCTTAACTGACTGAGCCACCCGGGCACCCCCACCCACCTGTTATTAGGAGAATAGATTTAATATTCCAAGAATCCAGATTTTTTTGCTGTAGTTTGTTATTCCTAATTTTATTACATTGTGTTGGAAAAGTACTAGTACCTACAAATACTATTGTTTTGCATTTACTTTCCTTGTGGCTTTGTATTAGATTAGTTATGACAGAAGGCACGTATATGCTTTTAAGAAATTATTTCAGGGGTGCCTGGGTGGCTCAGTGGGTTAAGCGACTGCCTTCGGCTCAGGTCATGATCCTGGAGTCCCGGGATCGAGTCCCGCATCGGGCTCCCTGCTCAGCGGGGAGTCTGCTTCTCCCTCTGCCCCTCTCCCCTCTCATGCTCTCTCTCTCTCTCTCTCATTCTCTTTCTCAAATAAATAAAAAATCTTTAAAAAAAAAATTATTTCAGGAACTCCCCAAAGTGAAGGTTTAACATGGGATTTCGTTTTTATGTTCTTTCCTATGAGAAATTACTGTTTTATTCCTTTGTTTGGGAGTCTTGCCGTTATGATTATTGAGGGCCAGAGCCATGGCAAACACGGTGGTGGCATGCCAGATCAGGGGCTTGCTCAGTCCAGCTACCTCTGCAGGGACCTGGCTGTGTCCTGAGCTGCAGAACAAGGGCCCTTGAGAAGGGTGACGCGACACTCCCTTGTCTCTAGCATCTAGAAGCTTGGAGGGGCATTCCTGCACCGCAGGGAGAGAATGGACATATTTGAGACAGATGATCCTCACTGTGAATGTATTTCCAAGGATCTGGGAGCAACCCTCAGAGTGTTGTTGCCTTCTGAATGGCAGATTGATCAGGACTAGAAGGGCCTCTTCAGTCCAGACTTCGTTGATCTTGACACTTCAGATTTCAGAAAATCTCAGCTAGTGTGGTCCTTGAAGAAAAATTACCCCAAAGGAGCATTTCATTGTTCTTATATTATTAAGGATTTGGCTTGTGGAGTTAATACAGTTTACAGTTTTCTTTTCACGATCAGTTTTGGCATTCTTGTTGTGGGAGGTGCGTCTCTATGAACAGAACCCCAGGATATAGCACTTGCCAATAGGATATGAGATGGCCCAACTTCAGTTGTTTTTTCTGCCCTTTGGGGAAAACATTTCTTTAATGTAATGCCATGTCCACACAATTAGTAATATGGTAGCCGTGTACGGCGTCCTGCCTGAGCAACTGTGTCCTTGTTGTGGGGCATTTGGGAATCCTGCGGCCTGCTCCTCTCCGCAGTTTTCTGTCCTATTTCCTTGTATCCTTTGTTGGTTTGTAATTTGGATTACACGTTCATATATGTATCAGTATATATATATATATTCACATACCTATCTCTCTCTATATTCAACAGGTTTTCCATTATTTTATGCCTTTTATCACAGGATGCTGCCAGTCTTAGAATGTGTTCCATTTCAGTGGCTAATTGGTTTTTCTCCTGCTTTGCTCGTTTTCACTCTGCAGAACATGATTGGGCTCAGATTACACTGCAGTGGAGCATTCACTCATTCTTTCTTAAGCTTATGCCTATTTTTGCTACTATCGTTGGGAATTCTCTTGGTTTCACGAATTTTTTTTTTTTTTTTCTATTTTAACAGGACTTCGAAAGAGAGGCCATTCCCAGAAGTGTTATATATATATTTTGGAGTAAAGTCATCTTTTCTTTTATGTAATAAGTTCTATATCCTTGTGTTTGTGCACATCAGAGTTTGCTGTAATTTAACTGCAGGCTCTTGTGATCCCTTCCATATCTTGTCCCTCGCAGACAGCACACAGTTGGACCCAGCCTCCGCGGTTCCCAGGCCTCGTCTAGGACCAAGTTCATCAGCCTTGGTGGCGCCTGGCCTTTGCCTCTGCAGGGTCGTCTCGCACCACAGAGGCCCACAAAGCAGTTCATATGGCATTTAAAGTAGTTTTGTTAAGTGTCCTTCTGTTTTCCTAGGTGCAATTGTTTAACTCATCTTTGAATCCTTAGCATCTGTCACGGTCCATGGAACGTAGTAGGTGCTTTGGAAATGCTTGCCGTGTGGATACTTATAGGAGTCGTACTGGACTCTTCCCTTAGATGTAAGGCGCAGGGCAGAGTTAGGGGTGCCCACGACGGCAGTAAGACGGAGGAGTGCTTGTTCTCTTGTTTAAGAAAACCAGTTCCTTAAGCTTGGGGATTATCCCTTTGTAAATAAGCGTTTATGCATATTATGTATACATAATACAATTTATGGGAAAGTTTATTACAGCTTAGTTTTGTCTCAAATGGATTGTAAGCTCTTTTTGGCCAAGGTGGTATCTTAAGACCGCCACTGTTCCTTCTACTTTGTCTCTGTGTGGGTGGTAGGCCCTCTGTGCTGGCTGATGATGAAGAAAGCAGAGAAGTAAACACACCTCTCAGCTGTTACATGAATTAAAAGTCTGTGTCTGTCACTGTGCTGGGCGAGGAGCTTTTTTAGGGCACAGAGCATATTGTGTTTATCTCTGTATCCACAACATGCAGCACAGTGCCTGAATTTCAGTAGGAATTTGATAGCTCTTGGTAGTTACATTGACTAATCTCCCTGGAAGAAAAGGACTTCATAAGCTGCAGATGTTAACGAGATTATACATTGAGTGGATCCATGGGTTACATGCATTTGAAGCGTTAACTGTTATTTGAGTGCATAATTGATAAGCTCTGACATCCTTAGATGTCTTTCTTCATTCCCACTCTGCATGTTCCTTTAACGTAATTAAGCAAAGAACACCTCTCTCTTTCCCCTTCCCTGCAGGCTGCCATGGCTGCCGTTGACAGCTTCTACCTCTTGTATAGGGAGATCGCCAGGTCATGCAATTGCTACATGGAAGCTCTGGCCTTGGTCGGAGCCTGGTACACAGCCAGGAAGAGCATCACTGTCATCTGTGACTTCTACAGCCTGGTCAGACTGCATTTCATCCCACGCCTGGTGAGCAGAGCAGATCTGATCAAGCAGTATGGAAGATGGGCAGTCGTGAGTGGTAAGAGAGGAGATTTTAGTCCTTGCCTGATTTCAAAACAGTATTATCTCTTCTGTGTAAGCTCTGTTTTCAGTGGGGTGCCTTATTCGAGGAGCCATTGAATTCATTGTGATGTGTTCACGGGAACACAGTTCTGTTGTGATTCTGTCCACATTTTCTTAGTGCCCTCCTCTTGGAACGATTTTTGCCCTTCTTATTCTGTCCTCCTGTTCCCGGTCCTGCCTCAGCCCACCTTCCCACCTCTTGTTTTTCCTTTCGCTCCCTTTTGAGATTGTCCTTAGAAACTGTCACCACTGTCAGTTCCCTTCTTTTAAATTTCATTTTGATTTATCATTGTTTCCCAGGAAAGTACCTCCCTGGCACTCGTTCAAGCCAGATATAAGTTTGAAAACTGTTTCCTGCCGTATCTCACTACCAGCTCGGTGAACGTGAGACTGCCCTTCCTCTACTTGTCAGGGGGTCTGGAAGAGTGTTTGACTAAGGTGTCGTTCATCTTTGGATTCGACATTGTACTCGACATAGTGATCAGTATGAGAACTGGGTTTATTTCTAGTGTGAACCCTTCTCAGCTTAAACCCAGAAATGGGGTATTTAAGGTTCGCTCTGAAGGTCACACCGTGAAACGAGCGTGCTCACATTCCCTGGCCTGTATTGTAGGTGCGACCGATGGGATCGGCAGAGCATACGCGGAAGAGCTAGCAAGCCGTGGTCTCAGTATCATCCTGATTAGCCGCAATCAAGACAAGCTGCAGATGGTCGCTAAAGACATAGCTAACACCTACAAAGTGGAAACCGAAGTTATAGTTGCGGACTTCAGCCACGGCCGCGAGATCTACGACCCTATTCGAGAAGCCTTGAAGGACAAAGACATTGGCATCTTGGTGAATCACGTAGGCGTGTTTTATCCCTACCCCCAGTATTTTACTCAGGTCTCCGAGGACAAACTCTGGGACATCATAAACGTAAACATTGCTGCGGCTAGTTTGATGGTCCATATAGTGTTACCAGGGATGCTGGAGAGAAAGAAGGGTGCCATTGTAACCATCTCATCCGGCTCCTGCTGCAAACCCACTCCCCAGCTGGCTGCGTATTCTGCTTCTAAGGTAATGTGTTCCTGATTCGGACAGCAAAGTCATAAAGCAGGAGGACATTTATTATGTGGTTTGGTCCAGTTTGTTGAGCTCTTTGTCCCCAGCTCGTGTTAACTTATGCTGTACTTTCTCCCGAAATGGTCATAAGCCTGTTTTCTTCTGAATTTTCTTCCAAGTACCCCTCCCACCCCGCCCGTTAAGTCTTTACCCTTGTTCTGTTTTAACAGGCTTATTTAGACCACTTCAGCAGAGCACTGCAGTATGAATATGCTTCTAAAGGAATCTTTGTACAGAGTCTCATCCCATTCTACGTGGCCACCAACGTGACCACACCTGGCAGCTTTCTGCACAAGTGTCCGTGGTTGGTGCCTTCACCGAAAGTGTATGCACATCATGCTGTTTCTACCCTTGGCATTTCAAAAAGGACCACAGGATACTGGTCCCATTCTATCCAGGTAACAGTATGCGCGCAACTCTTGTAATTAGGTTAATGCATCCTAAACCTTTCTAAATGATACATGGCCATCCGATTGAAACCTACTGCTGAAACGTGAGAATTGCACATTCTGATTCTTAAACCTGACACTCGTAGTCGTTCTGGTTAAGTCCCTAAATTCTCTTCTGTGCAGTTCTTACTGATAGTTTAATCTGTGTGGCACCTAAGAGATGAAGTATGCTGCTTTACTACAGGAAATGGCGGGAGTATAAAATACTCAGTATTCATGGGGACTCTTTGCATAAAGATTATTAAATTTGCCATCACCACATAAATAGATAAGAAAATCAACATTAGTTCTTATTTTTATTGAAAGATTTGGCTAAAAGTTTCTTTAGTCAGAAGGAGCTTTATTTATTCAATCCTCTGTCAATTTTTAACCCGTAAGGAGTTTCCTGGAGGAAGTTTGATGTGTCAAACACACCTTATAAAGCAATATCTGTGCTTATCCCGGTCAGTCTTCCACGTTAGGGCCTGAGTAAGAGTGATAGCCTGTGTTGGCTGTAGGGTCTTAGAAGTGCTCAATGCCTTGGATGAAGGCAGTTTTGGGAGCCTTTTAAAAGGGAGCTGCGGATTGCAGTGAGTAGGTGAGTGTGGGGAGGGCCATGGCAACCTCCTGCTCCACAAATAAGGCTGTGCGGGCACGGCGGCAGGTGGATTTGGCCGGAGGAAGCCGTTGTGTTTGTTATTCCATTTCCGGCAGCAGAGATGTGGCTGGGAGTAAGTGCTGGTGGGAAGGGGTGTGTGGAGAAGAGCAGCCCGAAGATGCGGGGGCAGGGGGAGAAGGCATGGTTCCTGGCAGTGGGGGCTGGACCCAGAGTGCAGTGGAGGGGACGAGCAGGGGCTGCTGACTGCTGGCTCCTGTGAGTGGGGGCTTGCAGAGTGGGGAGGTTTGAAGTGACAGTGTCGGGGACAGAGAGCTGGGCGCTGCTCCTGTGTGAGGGACCCTGTGGGAGCCCCTGCCGGGATGGCCTCTATAGTGATTTCACAGCCTTTTACTGGTCATTGCTAAGTCTGCATAAACAGTTCTTTTTGATGAGCGTGCACAGAGGTTAGGGCGGTGTTCTCGCTCCTCAGCTGGCCCAGCCCTTACGGATGTCTGCAGGACACCATTTCTGCACAGGAGCTGTTTGGGAACTGGCCTCTGTTGCCCTCTTGGCATTCATGTAATCAGATGATGGTGTCTTCTTTGTGTTGTGCTAGTTGTCTTAACGATTTGCAAGCAGAAAATAGAAAAAATGATTTGAACTTAAAACAGCTATAAAGGAGTCAAATGTCTTGGCTTTGTTAACTAGTTATCAGTGTTGATTTGGGAGCCTTTCTTCTCGTTTTCAGAAGTGCACGAGGCAGGGTTGTCAGCTTCGGAACACAGAGTAAGGTGGAAAAGCTTGTAGCCTTCTGTTTGGGTTACTTGAGGTGAAGGCCAGAAGCATGTGGGTATGTATTAGGTTGAAAAAGCCATTAATTTGACAACTTGACCAGTAAGTGTCTTGCTTATTACTCTGGGGGCTGTGTTCCTGGTGTAGGAAGATAGAAAAAGCCACAGGGACTGGCAAGCGGGGGCATCTGGGCTCTCTGGATGGGCCTGCAGTCTGCTCTCAATTTCTACCCACTTTTGGTATATTTATTTCCACGTAGTGCATGTGTGTTGCTATTGGAAAAAGAAGACGTGGTATTTAGAGGAGAAGGGAGCTGGTTGGCCTTGAGAAGGCTCTGGGGCTGCATATTGAGATGTGGGTGAGGGTCCAGGGGAGGCAGGCCAGCAGCCGTTTCAGAGGTCAGGGCCCCCCTGCCTAGCCTGAGTTCCCACACCCACTGCCAGCCAGGAAGGGACTGGGAACCACACACCTTCACTGCAGCTTTGTTTCTACCTTTGGAAAAACTCTGGCTCGAGGATCCAGCCCAAGTTCTTTGGGATCTTTTCCTTCCTTTCCATCCCCATTTCTTACCTAGGTCCTAACCATTCCAGTCTCTGGGAAATAATGGCGTCGGCATTTTCATTGCCAATGCAGATTTCCAGCCAGCTGTACATGTGCATTTGCCATTGACTTCCTCCTCTGGCTCTGGCTCCCCCCAGGGGCTGTCAGTTACCGTTGGCTTTTGTCGCAGGGGAGGACAGCTCCTTTCCTAGGCCTAGACAGGTGGGTCAGGTCTCTGAACATGCACAGAGCCTTCCAGAGCCAAAGATCCAGTCCTCCCTCCCCTCCCCGCTCTCCTCCTGTAAACACATAGATGAGTCACCCCTTTAGTTTCTAATCTATCAGGACACAGAGGATGCAGTTCTCTCCTCTTCCATTAGCTCTTTCCATCCTGCTCCCCAGGGTGCTAAGACCCATTAGGATAAGTTGGAAATGGTGCCCCCATGAGGGCTCTACACCTATTGTCATAAGAAACGGCAAGGTGCATCCTGCTGCTGGTCCCCCGTGATAGACAGCGGCCGTATTGAACGGAAATTAAAAACAAACGGATTTCTAGGCGTTGATCCCGTCTCCATTAAATAAATGCTGAAAAAATGCATAGTAGTCCTCCTCCTATCAGCGGGGATATGTTCCAAGGCGCCCAGTGGACGCCCGAAGCCACAGATAGTGCCGAACCCTATGCAGACCGTGTTTTTTCCTGTCTGTGCGTGCTACCTGTGATGACGTTACTTTATAAAGGAGGCACAGTGAGCTGCTAACAACAATGACTAATAATAAGATGGAACAATTTTAACAATATCCTATAACAAAGGTTATGTGAAGGTGGTCTCTCCCAAAATACCTGTACGGTACGCAGCATTCCTGTTGTGCTGACATGACACGATAAATTGCCTGTGTGAGGAGAGGGAGTGAGGGGACGTCGCGTTAGGCTGCTGTTGACAGGGCGGTAAGTCGGGAGGATCATGTGCTTCTGGACCACGGTTGACCTTGACCATGGGAAACGGAAAGCATGGAAAGCAAAACCAGGACAGTGGGGGCACCACTGTACTTGGAAGAGGGGGTCCAGTTCTGTAGTCTGTCCCAGGTGCCTACGTGTTTGAGCAGATCCCTACTTCCAGGGTCCTCCTAAGGGACCTGAAGCTGACTTCTTTTATCTCCTTATGTTTGGAATCTTTCGCTTTAAAATAGTAGCTCCAAGGAGGAGTATCCCAGTATTTTATCCACAAAATCCTGGCTCTTTAAAGAGGTCCAGAGAGACCTTAGTTGTGTCCCCAGAAAGTTTCCCATGGCTCCTGGGCAAATACGGGGCTCCTGTCTCTGAGGTGGCGAGGTGGAGCTTCTCTGGGACCTGCAATGGACCGCTGCGGCTGTCCCTGACACCGGGACCCCCTCCTGTTCCGTGCGGCTTCCCTGGGTCTGGGGTGACCTCTGTTACTTTCTGTTCAAGGCTAGAATTTTAGCACTTGCCAGTGGCCTGTTCATCTCCCTTCCTTCCTTTTTTTAAAAAGTAAGCTCTAGGGGCACCTGGGTGGCTCAGTCGTTGAGCATCTGCCTTCGGCTCAGGTCATGATCCCAGGGTCCTGGGATCGAGCCCCGCATCGGGCTCCCTGCTCCGCGGGGAAGCCTGCTTCTCCCTCTCCCACTCACCCTGCTTGTGTTCCCTCTCTCGCTGTCTCTCTCTCTGTCAAATAAATAAATAAAATCTTTATAAAAAAAAAAAAGTAAGCTCTATGCCCATGATGGGCTTGAACTCACAACCCTGGGATCAAGTTTTGTATGCTCCACCAACTGAGACGGGCCTCCCATTCATCTCCCTTCCTTACAGTAGCACAAGTTCTAATACAGCTCAGCTCAGTCTTGGACAAACGCATCCGCACAGTGCAGGGTTTCTCCCCATCAGCACTGTTGGCATTTGGTGTTGGATAATCCCTTGTGGCGAGGCTGTCCTGGGCACTGTAGACTGTTCAGCAGCATCCCTGACTTCTACCCACTGGCTGCCGGTAGCAACAGCACCCCAGGTGTGACGACCAGGAAGGTTTCTGGACATTGCCATATATCCCTCTTGTTTCATTTCACCCCAGCCTGCCCCTCACACAGTACTAATCACGGATGCATTTATCCATTTCAGCTGCCCTTTGTTCCTCGAGTGGTTTTGTCATTCTTAACCAAATGAATGTGTTATTGATACCAGGTTAAGTAAGAATGGGATTGTATTACTGCGTGTGAGTCTGTCCAGCCTCATTAGAGAAGGGGTGGGCAGGCAGTGGTCATGTGTGTTGTATTCCCAGGGAGTCTAGCATAGGTTCTTTTGCAAAAATAGGTGCTTGGGTACAAGAGCACCTAAGGGCTTTTCCTTTTTTTTTGTATTTACTTTGGTGATGTTTGTTGTATTAAGTCATATACTGACACTTAAGGGTCTGTGCTTTGGGTTCTAACCTTCTAACCTTTTTCTCTTTCATTTTTAGTTTCTTTTTGCACAGTATATGCCTGAATGGCTCTGGGTGTGGGGAGCAAATGTTCTCAATCGTTCTTTACGTAAGGAGGCCTTATCCTGCAAAGCATGAAACTGCATGATGGTTTGGGAAGTTTTGCCACCTCTTGGGAACCTGCAGTATTCTGACGTTTGGAAGGACACATTTAATTTATCTTCTGTATTTTCTTTTATTACTGGTTTTATTACTGGTTGATTTAGCATACTGTTGACTCATCATTTGCAAAGCACACATAATACTTTTAGAAAATGCTGTGGAAAAACCACAAGGGCCGCATCATGTGGATGGCACAGAGCACATAGTGACTGAGGCACAAGAACCTATTGAGGGAACCTAAATTGTAATGCTTTTCTTTTTTTTTCTCGAAGCTGTCTCAAAGCTGTGTGATTTATGTTGTTCTAGGAGCTATAGCAATCTGATATTAAAATATAATGACTTGTCAGCTCTCGTAGTTTCCAATGTTGTTTTTTAAGGGAAATCATTTTGGTACACGAATTATAGTATTGGTTTTCAAATGTTCATCAGGAAAGACTTTGAAAGTGTTATAAGTAAGATCGCTGGTGTAATTAGCAGTAGAAATCCCTGTATATCCTATTGTATAGCTCTGTTTGACTCTGTATGAAAATGCTGCTCTTCAAGCGATATTTCACTAGAGAACCATCTGTGTATATATGTTGTGTACATTCGGGCAACTTTATTTATGGGTAAGTTACTTTAAAAAAGATGTCTTGCTAAGGTGGCTTAACGTGGAAACTTAACGGGGTCTTGAAATTCTAGGTTACTCCTTTTCGCACTAAACAAGCCTACCCAATTTTGTGCTATAGGTTTGCCATGTATAATATCATACATTATGTTGGTGGTTGTTTTTTTTTTATCTGTGGAATTGATTCATTCTTTCTTAGATTTGAACCTATAATGGTTGACCCTCAGTTATCTCTTGATTTATAATTATTGTGGATAAGTAGTGATTTCTCAGCCTATGACCCATTTTATAACTGAAATTTAGCCCTTTAGAGCTTGTTATATCTGGTTTTCATACACTTTTCTATGTAATATTCTCTTATAGTAGCATTATTGGAGTAAACATCAATTACTTACGGAATAGTGGTTAAAATACGGACAAATTATGTGTGTGATATATAGTAATGTGTTAAAATAAGTTAGAAGCTCATTCTTGGTTCGTGTAACAAATTTACGCATTGCAGTGAACGCTTTTGTTGGTGTGACGATCATTGTGCGCAACCCCCCGTGATAGGGGTTAGCTTTGACACCTACTGTGAAATAAATGTTTTTTGGCTTGGATCTTATAAAGCCAGACATTTTGGGGGACCACTCTCTAGTGCTTCAGCAACTGTAAATCACTATATGAACGTGACAATGTATGCAAGTTAAGAATTTGGAGTTTATTACTGTGACACTGATGCAGAAACTAGTAAATTGGCTGAAATCAGGACTTGTATGGAGCTGTTTTCATCTGAGATGGTATTCCACTAGGAGTTAGGCCTGGCCATGCCTTTACGGTGCACCCACAGTTTTGTCAGTGCCGTTGCCTCACTGTTTCCAGATCGGACTTGGACTCGGAAGATCAGTGGTTGAGTTCAGAAGCTCTTCCAGGTATAGACCAGGCCTTCATTACACCAAAGAAGACCTTCAGATATGAAAACTTGCTAGCGGTGTTACACAGCACGGAAGGTGTTGATGGAGTCTGCTTGGAAGCCTTCGTTTTGTCACATTTGGCTATTTTCCCTCACCTAACAATTAACTTATGGTCATTAAGACTAGAGAAAATTTGACTTCCTGCCACATCAACCTGAATTTTACTGACATGTAGTAAGAAGCAGCAACTGTATGTAAAAGCACCATATTTCTATCTCGGGAGTTACGTGGCACAGCAGTGTTTCTATTTATAGGTTACGGACTGAGTCACTGCCAAATGATGAGAAAAAGTAAATCATGTCAGTGATATTTGCAAATTCTCTACTTGGCAGGACCTGTGTAAGTAAGCTGACGGGTGCAAAGCTAGTGAAAGATCAAAACCAAGAATCTTCCTTAGGTTTCCCCTTTGATGAAATACTTTTTCCCAGGGCTCATCTGAGAATCATCATTGGGCCACTGTAGATGGGGTTTCTTACTAAGAATGTGGAAAATGAAGAACCTTTGAAACAACCTGTAAACTGAAAATTTAACAAGAAAAACTGCTTCTGCTTCCTGTGGGAGAGGTTTTGCTCCATGTATTTGTATTTGGAATGAGAGAGAGAGCTTTTTCCCCATAGAAACAGTTACTTTAAAATTAATTTAATCTATGAACACTTATGGTACTAATTCCTTAAAAGCTGGTAATTCAGCAAGAAAATTGTGCATAACCATGTGTCTATTAAGTCTTTTGAAATAGACTAAGTAGATTTCTTGATCTCATTCTCCTGAGAGGTTGAGTAAATAGTTGAAGGTAGATTTTGATCGACTTTGGCAACGTGGAGATCACTGCTGGTTTTGCCACGAGCCATTTTTGTCGCATGGTGGGGATGAAGGGTAGATTGTAGTGGGTTCAAAAGAGTAGAAAGAGAAAGGGAGACAGCAAGGAGAGAGCGCTTTTGAGGAGTCTCGCTGTTTTAATGTCTGTTACTCAAAATCGTACCACATTTGGGAACCAGGGGGTTTAGGTGGTGTCGTCTGTCTTGACATCGTGTGCCCTCCTAAACCAAGTCCAGTCTGTTTGTGTGTCTGTCTCACTGCTGGCTCGGCTGTTACTCTTTAAAATCGTATTCAGTTTGAATAAAGATATACCTTCCCGTGGAATTTGCAGATTCCTTATTATACACATAAAGCATGAAGTTATTCTAGAACCTGGAGTGGTGGAAAACCGACAGACCAGGATCCTGTGGCTCTCATCCTTTCTTGGTAGATTTCCAAAACACCTCTCTCATACTCCCCCCTTCAGCTTATAGGGTTCTTGGAACCAGCAGCAGTGCCGGGTTCCCTACTTTGGGGCTTTGCGATCACACGACAAGGATTTTTGCAGCTCACTAGCCTACCTCAGTTACTGACAGTTGGGTTGTGTATTCAATGGCACAGTGACCTCAAGGCCTGTTAAAAGAACCGTGGCCTAGACCAGTTCACCCCACATTAGAACACCACAGTGGAGCTTAAGCTCAAGTGCGTTATATGGTGGCAGCAGGCACTGCTTCACTTAGAGGACTTGCGAATGCGAAAGAGTCAAGAATTCTCTGGGTTCCTAACATGGATGCGATCTCAGAATGGGGAGAAGAACTTAATCAGGTGTAGGTGGGTCTAGATACTAAGCACCATTGTTTATGGACCATGGTGTTTCATTGAACCCTCATCCTGTGAGATACAAATACGTCTTTCGGGTAAGGAAGGTGAGGTACACTGAGCCGGGGCACAACTTGCCCAGGATCACAAATCTAGTGGGTGATGGTGCATTAACTTAGTATACTAGTTCGGTTAAAGAATGATGAAGGGAATACGAAGTGCTGTGCTTTCGTGTCCTGTTGGTGCCTGTCAGCACGATCAGCTGCTGTGGAAAGTCAAACAAGATAGAAACAGTTTTATCTGACTGTGCAGCACATCCCTTTTCTTTTTTTAAAGATTTTTATTTATTTATTTGAGAGAGAGCACATGAGAGGGGGCAGGGTCAGAGGGAGAAGCAGACTCCCCGCCGAGCAGGGAGCCCGATGCGGGACTCGATGCGGGACTCGATCCAGGGACTCCAGGACCACGACCTGAGCCAAACGCAGTCGCTTAACCAACTGAGCCACCCAGGTGCCCCATGATTTTATTTATTTAAGAGAGAGAGAGCATGAGAAGGGGGAGGGTCAGAGGGAGAAGCAGACTCCCCGCCCAGCAGGGAGCCCGATGCGGGACTCGATGCGGGACTCGATCCAGGGACTCCAGGACCACGACCTGAGCCAAACGCAGTCGCTTAACCGACTGAGCCACCCAGGCGCCCCATGATTTTATTTATTTAAGAGAGAGAGAGCATGAGAAGGGGGAGGGTCAGAGGGAGAAGCAGACTCCCCGCCGAGCAGGGAGCCCGATGCGGGACTCGATGCGGGACTCGATCCAGGGACTCCAGGACCACGACCTGAGCCAAACGCAGTCGCTTAACCAACTGAGCCACCCAGGCGCCCCATGATTTTATTTATTTAAGAGAGAGAGAGCATGAGAAGGGGGAGGGTCAGAGGGAGAAGCAGACTCCCCGCCGAGCAGGGAGCCCGATGCGGGACTCGATGCGGGACTCGATCCAGGGACTCCAGGACCACGACCTGAGCCAAACGCAGTCGCTTAACCGACTGAGCCACCCAGGCGCCCCATGATTTTATTTATTTAAGAGAGAGAGAGCATGAGAAGGGGGAGGGTCAGAGGGAGAAGCAGACTCCCCGCCGAGCAGGGAGCCCGATGCGGGACTCGATCCAGGGACTCCAGGATCATGACCTGAGCCGAAGGCAGTCGCTTAACCGACTGAGCCACCCAGGCGCCCAGCACATCCCTTTTCAAAAGCACTACCAAGAACGTGTTTCCGTCCTCCGCCTGTACCCAGCGCCGAGTGTGGGCCGGTTCCACGCGTGGGCAGAAAACAGCCCGCGATCCTAGTACCTAAACCACGCAGGCATTCCGGGGGAGGCCAGCGTTTCAGAGTTGAACGCACCGAGCCTTGTTGGTCAATGGGGTAACCACTGGGCATCAGTGGTCCCGGCGAAGTGGGGAGCAGACCGGAGCCGGGGCGGCAGTTTCGCCCGCCAGTGGGGGGTCCCCGGGCCCGGCCCCGCGGCCGCGTCGGACAAATGGGCAGAGGCTTGCAGAAGTGCGTGCCTGGGGGCGCCGCCCGAGCCTGGCCCCGGATCCGGACGCCGTCGGGCCCCAGGAGGAGGGCGCTGCGCTGGGAGCTCGCGGGCGTTTACGGCAAATGCTGGCCGTTCCGCCAGGATCGTCATCCCTGGGCCCTGGCCCCGCGCGGCCGCTTTCGGGCCCCACGTCCAACCATCCCGAGGGCCCACGGCCCAACACCCCCACCAGCCCCGCCACCGACCCGGACCCGGAAGGCCCGCCACCCTCCCCCCGGCCGCAAGTGTCGCGAGACCTGTGTCCGTCCGCCCGGCCCGCGCCCGGCGGCCCCCGGCGTCCGGAGCGCGCACGCAGGCCCACGCAGGGCACGCAGGGGACGCACAGCCGGCGGGGCCGGCGCTCCCGGCGCTCCCAGCCGTCGGTCTCCCCGCCCCGCTCGCGCAGTCTCGCGAGAGTTGGGGGTAAACAGCCCCGAATGGAGACGCGAGGCGTGTTCGCGGTGGAGGTGCCGTCATCCCGGGACCGCGGGGCCCGAGCCTGAGGCGGCAGCAGGTAGGTTGGGCGGAGGCTCGCTCGCACACCCGCCGACCTGTGCAGCCGCCCGCGCGCCCGAGGCCCCAAGGGCGGGGGTGTGCGCCGGCGGCGGCCGGGGCCGGGGCCTCCCTGCGCCCCTGGACCCTCCGGGAGCCGCACAGGAGCGTGGGGCGGGGGACAGACGGGAAGAGCGGCGGCCGGGTGGACGGGCGTTTTCCAGCCCCCGAAACAGCGCGCGCGGCCGTGCTCGGCGGGCTGCGGCCGGGGGGCCCTGCCCGGCCCTTTCTCCGGGCTCGCGCGGGGTGCTAGCTTGCTCAGCCTCACCGCTTTCTCCCGGTGAAGTAAACTTCGACGGAGCGAACCCGTGTCCCCGGCGCTGGCCCTCAGCTTCCCGGCGCACCCACGGTTCCGGGCCGGCTCCCGTAGGGGCTCCGGGATCCCGTTTTCAGCGACCTGGGTTCTTCGCTCGCCGCAGTCCGAGCACACTGCTGAACATCCCGATTTTCAGGAGTGCAGTGCGGGAAGCTCGTGGGCAAGGTGGGCCGGAGAGACTCCTGCCTTGCCCTGTCGTGTGTGCGCTACCTGAGACGAAGTCTAAGACTGCTGTATTACAGATTATCAGTATCCTTTTTATTAAGATGTTTACCCTTTGTTTTGGTGAGAGCTCCTGGGAATGTTGGCCAGTTTGTGCAAATTAAGTTAAATACTTTAGGTTCTGAAGGACACTTCCAAGTGAAATAAAGTAGCAGAAGATCTCAGAGCTGAACTCCGTAGAATTTGTTTTCCTGTGGCCCTTTAGCCTTAGCTGTGCTAGTAGGCAACCCACCTGCAGGGTCTCAGTTTGCATTTGTGTAAGAGTGAGGAGCTTGGAGAACTGATTCTTCCCAACTTTCCTTTTTTATCTGCAGCACACGATATATATATATTTTTTATGTCAGTGCTTTGTTCAGGTAAAATTTACATACCATAAAATTCACCTGTTTTACGTGTACTTATTCAGTGTTTTTTTTTTTTTTTTTTTGGTGCCGTCATCACCACAACCCACTTTTAGAACATTTTTGTTACCCCAAAAAGATCCCCAGTGCCCATGTTCAGTCACTACCCATTTCTGACTCCAGCCCCAGGCAACCACTCATCTGCTCTCTGACTCCCTAGACTTGTCTCTTTTGAATATTTCATTGAGGTGGGATCATCTGTGGCCTTTGTGTCTGGGCTTGGCCTCAGTGGGACCCCTGCTCATTCAGCCTCTCCATTGCACTCCCCATGCATCTCTCATATTCAGGAGTCGGTTGTATCCGTGAAAAAAGAGAAATTCTAATTTAGTGCTTGCAGAGTCTTTGCAGCCCATGGGGCCCCATGGGATCAAGCTGGATCTCTTCTAGCTAAATTTTTAGCATTCCCTTCAAATTCACATGTTTGATTCCATCTTCTGTCATTCTAGTGGTAGATAGTTCCTGCTCTGCCCTGCCTATTGCCTCTTTTGTGTGGCAGCCACAGTTAAGTGTCATAAATAGACTAACAGAAGCTAGGAGGGGTGAACACTTAGGTAAACTGCACCCGGGTTTCATCTGTGTCCTGTGTGGGGTTTTTAGGGGGAGATTTGCAACTGCCTCTTTGCACCAGGGGAGAGCTGAGATATTGTTTGTATTTCATTGGAAGAACTTAACTCCAACCCTTTGTGACTTGAAATGTTAATTAAGGATGGGAGGCTAGACTTTGCATTTGGTATTTGGGTGGGGACTTTGGTCTCCGTCAGCATCTTGCCTGAGACAGGCCAAGGAGGTAGTAAAAACAGACACATCGATTTTCCCTTCCCTGTGGCCTAATCAGTTTTGATGTGCTGCAGAGATCTGTTACCTGGATTTACTAATCTTGACGATGTCTTTGCTTAGGGAAGTGAGTTTCAAGTAAACTGAGGAAAGTACTGGGTTTGGAGGTGCCTGCCTCGTGCGGCTGGCTAGCTAGTGCTGGATGACTGAAGGATCAAGAGAATAAGGAGATGGACACAGCACCCGTGAAAGAATAGGCAGTAAAGGACAGTGTAGACAAGCACCTCTTCACCCTGGCATTGTTGACTCTTTGGGCTGAATTACTTGTTTTGTCCCGCTAATGGACAGAATGTGCCAGAAGGAATGGTTCAGTCAGTCTGAAGAATACACCTTTATTTCAAGATAGTGCGGTCTGGCATCGTTTCAATGTTAGCTGATTACACAGTGGTAGTACTGCCGAGTATGCAATTAGTTATGAAAGTGGTACTTTTACAGCCAAAGTGTAATTGAACTGAATGCTACCCTTTTGTGGCCTAAACACAGTTCAGTTTTCTCTGGAGCTATTTCAGTAAAAGTTCATTAAAAAAGCTGGTGTATCTAAACTAGATGACTGTGGGGTGATACAAGTAATTTCCTCTCCCCTGAATTGTGTTCTTATTTGCCAAGAAATGATTTCAGATATACTTTAGC